AATAACACGCAACTCCTAGAGTGTATAGGGAATGTTAGAGCAATAAAACCCAGATTCTGGAAAGTTATGAAAACTTCTGGAAACTGAGGCAGCAATCCTGAGGCCATTATAGGACCCAATAGGGGGTCTGACATAGAGTATGAGATTTCAAATGGGAACTGGAAAGGGAGCAAACCTAAGGGAATGGCAGTCTTCATTTTGTTGTTCTGATTTCTCATTTCCACAACCTAACGTTAGCAGTGTCTACTTAAGAGTATTGAATTTAACTTGGAGACTTCAAGTGAAAAAGGACCAACTGCCTCAAAGTTGTCTAGGGATGGTAAGGATCTGAAATCTCTATCCTGTGCTACACACTATGATTTGAATGTGTCCCACAAATTCCATGTGTTGGAAACTCAATCATTAAACTCATGCTAATATTTGGAGAGCCTTTGGGAGGTAAATGGATTACCATCGGAGTGGCTTTGGTATGTACGAGTGCTCTCTGGCTACCTTGCTCTATCTTGCCATGTGATGCCTTCTACCATGTCCTGATGCAGCAAGAAGGCCCTCACCAGATTGGAGACATAGGGCAGATGCTGGCACCATGCTCTTGGACATCCCAGCCTCCAAAATCATTAGCTAAATCAATCTCTACTTTGTATAAATTACTGTCTAAATTATTTTGTTACAGCACCAGGAAATGAATAAGATAACATCCCAAAGAAGGAAGAAGAGTAAGCCTGATTTTAAATACTATGAATACATTTATTTCAAATAAAGGAAGGAAAAGATGACACTTCTGCAGTAAAATTTGGGATCAAAAGCCAGAGATAAAGCATCAAGAAGAAAACTCCTTAAAATTGGAACTCTCTGGGAAAAAAAATGAGTGTTCTTGGGCAGCAGCACTAATAATTAATTCTATTTTATGTGGATAACGATTACATGCACTTGCTTCACAATTACAATTGATTCTTATTATTGTGTAATCCATGTTTGCCAATTTACCTATTAGAACTTATTTGTAACCTCCAAATCCATATTCCTAGCACTTTTGCAGCCAACTGTATGCATGCACACATGCAGAGTAGCATCTGTTGCACATAACCCCAGGTAGGGACAAGTAAGGCAGCATTCTAGTTTCAGTTCTCTCATACCATAAACAAATATCCTTTGCACAATCTTTGCAGTGCTACGGGATTTTTGCATTTGTGTGCTTTCGTTGGTGATTTCACTATTCACAACACCCAATTGTAGTGCTAAAGTGCCGTCTAGTGTTCTTAAGCACAAGGCTGTGATGTGGCTTCAGGAGATAAGTAAGCTTTATTCAAACATGCATTGCAGGGCTATTGGCCTTGAGCTCAATGCAAAGGAATCAACAATGTATGCTACAAATGCTGACTTTTAACAGAAATACACATAAAAAATGATTAAGGATGGATCAGGTAACAAAAATGAGCATGCAGGAATCTGGCCCTACATTTACCCAACAGGCAAGCATTCAGGGTCACAGTAAATTTGGAGAAATTAAGAACTACAAAAAATAATCAATGCACTACATCTGTGTCAGTTATGAATTGAGTATTTAAAGGTGATATTCATGCATTGCACAAAATAATCAATTATACAACTTCTAAGGCCTTTTTGATATGCAAACAGTCTTTACAGTTTTGCACTTAAAGAGAAAAGCAGAACTCTAGCACTCTAACTTAACTGGTAGTCAAAATGTTGTTTCAAGGAGGGCAGAAATGGGCAGTAAGTTCTGAAATTTCAACCTTCAAAGGCTAATTCAAGAGTGGACACCAGGACTTCCAGACAAGCTGTAGTACTGAACTCAAGCATCTAATGATGCCCCTCTAGAGAACCTACCAAAACTACCATAAAGAGATCATTTATCAGCTTTATTGAGGTAAAAGTGAAAAAAAATATTCCAGGTGTACAACATAATATCCCATTTTATATATATATATATAATATATATATATATATATATCTCATGATTTTAAAGAAACAGCCCTACAAGAATGTGGGAAAGAGAGCTGGTGAGGTGGTACATGCCTGTAATCCCAGTGGCTCGGGAGGCCGAGACAGGAGAATCAAAAGTTCAAAGCCATTCTCAGCAAAAACGAAGTGCTAAGCAATTCCGTAAAACCCTGGTTTAAATATAATACAAAACAGGGCTAGGAATATGTCTCAGTGACCAAGTGCCCTTAAGTTCAATACCGGGTACCTACCTCCCCACCACCCAAAAACAAGCAATAGTGGAGAAAACTAAGAATTAACCACATATACAACGTAGAATTCCTCGAATATCTGGGAGTTGATCTGAGCACCTTTGAAAGCAGAAGTATGGGACTAAACTACTCAGAATTGGCTGAAAGTTGAGAGGGCAATAGGATCCCTAGATGCATAGAAGTTTATTCTCTGGACTGGAGACCACTAGTACAGCCATAAAGTGGGAGTGCTATACCAAAAAGGGATTAAGGAAAAACACGGCATAGTGACTGCCAAGACCCCTCTGTTCTTTCCCCACTGACTCACAGAAAAAAAAAAAAAATGGATTTTTACCCTTCAGTTTAAAACGAATCAACAACTTCCTTTGGAGAATTTGACCCATTCTAAAGATAATGAAAGACCCTACAAACCACAAGACCATGAAAGCCAACTATTGAAGCTGATAAGCTCCATCGACACATTCAGAGCATTTTAAATTTGCCTTATTAAATATAAGCAGACGACCAAGGATCAGCACACATCTGAGGAAAGCCCAGTACAAAAGACCAACACAAACAAAAAATGGTCTTGGAATAAATAATGCAGGAGGGAAAAAAACTCCAGTGTCTTCAGATATGATAAGATACAACATCTATTAAACAAGAACAAGAAGCAATAAAGATTAAGGAAATAAAGGAGCTTAAAATTAAAAACCTGATAGAAATTGTTTAAAGATAGTTTATAAACTCTCCTAGAAAGAGCACAAAGAAATGAAAATTAAAAGATTTAACAAAACAGGGCTGGACTTGTGGCTCAGCAGTAGAGCACTTGCCTAGCTTGTGTGCGACTCTGGGTTCAATCCTCAGCAACTCATAAAAATAAATAAATAACTACAATATAAAAAACAAATATAAAAAAATTTAACAAAACAAAGTACCAGTCTAGAAGGTCCAAGAAGTAAATAAAAATGGTTCCAAAAAGGAGAAAACAGAACAATTAGCCCAGAACTGAACTGCCATATTTTAAGAGACCACTAAGGCCAATTAAAAAAAAAACTTTCATTTAGGCATATTACAAAATTAGAAACGTAAAGACTAGAAGCTAGAAAAATACGGTCTTATGTTTACAATTTCAATATTTTTCTAGCTTCTAGTCTATGTATTTTGAAAATGCTTTCCAGTATAGAATTCTGTATTTGGCCAAACATTATTAGACATTCTAAAACAAAAAACATTAATGGCAACGAGTTACAGGATTGAGGGTGGGAGGGAATGTTAATATCATAGTTGGAGAAAATATGAACACAGAATGAGGAAAAGCTAAAAAGAAACCTCTGGTGCTAGCTAGAGCTTCAGTCATCAGTAGCTCCATACACGCAGAGAGCAGCCATGACATCCCTGTGGCAGTGAGCATATCCAGACCATTCCCTACTAAAGGCCTCTCTGACTAGGGCAAGGAAAGGACAAGATGAGCCTTCACTGCTTATTGTGTTGGAAAATAAGAAGTACACTGATGGAAAAATGTCACAAAGAACACAAAACTTTTGCCCTGAAAAGTCTCATTTGCTAACTGTGCAAACATTTGAACAAAATGATTATAATCCATTATAACCCATTGAATAAAATAATTGAGGAATTCATACTGACAAGTACTCAGGCAAAAGAGAAGCTCTTGAGTTCAGTATGACCAAAGAAAAAAGAAAAATAGCCATTTTATACCATCAGTATAACTTAGGCAAGAATTATACAGCCATACTAACTAGATAGTTCAAGTTTGATGAGGAATAGATTGCTTTTTAATGCCCCCACATAATTTTCCCACAAATTACTTATTACCAAGGGGGAAAATGGCAGTTTCACAGTGGAGAAACCTGATAGACAACACCTTAATCAAGTATCAAAGTTAATGTGAACAATGGGACATGACATCACATGTCCCCAGTGTGAAGTTTTGAGGACACATCAATTACATCATACTCCTACCACAAATGTAGTCTCAATCTAATTGTGAGGAAGCAAATAAATCCAACTCAAGGAGAGACATTCACAAATGACTAGCCTATACACTTTAAAAACATCAATACCATGAAAGACAAAGGCCAAGGAACTATTCTAGATGAAAGGAAACAAGCAACATAGAGCCAACTGCTATGGACTACAAGTTCCCAGGTTGGGGATGTAAGCTCAGTGATAAGAGTTCTTAACTAGCATGTGCAAGGCCTTCAGTTGGATCTCCAGCACCAAAGGGGAGGGAGGAGGAGATGTTCCTAAATCAACCATACTGGAACTAGAAATATCTGAATAGTCTAGTCTTTGATTAAAAATCACTTTTGCCTTCCAGATTTTGATAACAAGTAACTGCCCTTGTCTCAAAAAATATACCCCAAAGAACTTATGAAGGGGAGAATTATGTCTGCAAATGGTTCTTTCAAAAGTTCTGGAAAATGTATAAGAATAGCAAAGCAAATGTGGCAATATTTACTAGTGAATTTGGATAAGAGAATTCCTAAATTCTTCCTTCATTCTTACAACTTTCCTATAACTTGAAATTATTTCAAAACTTGAAGTGGAAGAATAGTTTTACTTAATCCATGTTTTATATGTAATTCTATTCTCAGCCAATACTTGTACATCAGTGTTTATAAAGGATAAAAGTGACAATAACCTACAGGGGCAAATTCACTGTAAACCACTTATAAGCCAAGAGAATAAGAAATTGAGCCACAACCTCTTCAACTTTTGAGACATAACACACTGTCAATGGGGGAGGGGGGTTTGAGGTATTCATACTGAAAATACTCACTCAAAAACAATGTAAATTTTTCGTTTTATTCAAAGTTGGTACAGAAGTGCTAACAATTCCATAAAATAATTACTACACTTCAGTTACAGGACAAAATACCACAGAAAGGAATGTACTTTTGCAAGAAATGTAGTTCATCTTCCAAATACTTCTGAAGGCTAATGCAGCAGCTGGCAAAATAACACACAGTACACAAAGAACAGTGTATTTTACAGAGTCAGTAATGAAAACTGACAGCTCTTTTAGCAGATATGCTTCATTTTTTTTTTTCATTTTTAAACAACAATAACACTTTTTAAAACACTTTAAACCAAGATCATATGTCTACAATTTTAAAAAATCAGATTGTATACAGTGGAATAGTCAGGTTAGAATTGTCAGGAATGGTTAACAATTTTAAATCTACAGTTTCAATTGTTTTCCTTTCAATATGGAAGTAACCTGATTTATACTAAATTCTATTTTCTTAAAACATTGCACAATGGAACAGACCCAGTTAGCCAAACTTTAAGACAAAAAAGCTGTGAACAATGAAGGGCAAATTGGAAATTAAGTTTACAATCAAAGACTCACTCAAAATGAATGTTCATCAACTTCACTTATAATTACATTTGACCTACAATACCTGACTAAAATGATACATGTACACAATACACACTCCCCAGGTCTCTTACAGAAAATGTGAACAAAGCATAATAGGCAGGACACTGGGAGAAGCATTTTTCAATGCAGATATCTTTTAAAAATGCATTAATACTTACATATCAAAATTACTAGATAAAAGCAGCAGTATTCTGCTGACATTTGGCTTAAAAACAAAGGAATGAATGAAGCAATTTCACAGGATATTATTAGAAAAGGAATTGGTTTTCTTCTTGAAGAAGACTACTAACTTTTGCACAGCAACTATTTTTGATATCCATCTTATCAAAAAAGAAAAAAAAAAGCACTGAGAAGCCTAACATAGTTCATATCATAATTGCCAACACAGTCTGGACAGAACATGGGATGTCCAATCAGAATGGGCAAACCCCTGCTCTATTTATGAGCTCTGCTGGCAATCTATAAACTGAAGCAATAATGGCAGGGGAAAGCAGGGGAACAGATTCCATACCATTATCTGACACTAAAGTAATATGTCATTATTAAAAAAAATAAAGCTTTTGCATTTTAACAACCCCACAGAAAACTCCATGAGCAAGATTTGTTGATCCGTTTGCCACTTAAAAGTCAGATCTCACAGTGAAATTAGGCAATTCTAATTATACATATTTACACCACTAGGACTACTTTTCACCTAGGCTAATTAAAGCAGTCTTCCATGGAATTATAAATGAAAGATATTTCTGCCAAAAGTTTTTTCAAAAGCATCCTTTCATAAAGTTTTTATAAACTAGTTTAAATTTAAAGGTATAGGATACACAATCTATAGAACTAACAGGTTACAACTGTTTTGCATTATTACATACTGCTAAGCCAAGCACGGTCCTCGAGCCTTTCCAGTTTCCTGTTCTTCTGGCACTCCTCTTCCTGCAGAGCTCAAGCCTAAGGTTTTACATTCTAAAGAAATGTAGGTATACACCTGCCTGGCTTTTAGCTGGAGGTAGGAATCTCTCCCTCCAGTGTTCAGGTTAACTCTTCCAAAAACATGTCACAATAGTCTATATCAGCTACATTCTAAACAAGCTTTTTTCTAAGAAGATAAATACACAAAACAGAGGAGAGAGACGGAACAAGGTAATCAGTCACTCCTATTCTGAGAGTTGTATCTTGACATGGGCAAAATTCAAGATAAAGCTATTTATTCGTTCTTGGCAAACAGGGATTGGGAAATGCATTAAGTTGGAGCAAGATAAAGCCAACTGTGAAGTGGAACATCATTTCATCTTTCATGCGTACATTCACAGATTTCCTCTAATCTGGTCTTGAGGAAAACAATGGGACAGGTGAAAGACTCATTCAGACTATGGGTACCATTATGAAAAGCAAAGTAGTTCATTTGGCAAATCTGTCTTAGACTTAGTTTGATGCTTCGAACTCTTGGATCAAATTCTCCTCAGTTAAAATGAAGCAAAGTCAAGCATGTGAAGAAAGTAAAAGGTCACTTCATCTCTCACAAATCTACATAAAAACTAAAGTAGTATTTGCCCTATTAAAATGTTAACTTCTCCAGGGTTTAGAGCATTTTTGTTCATGAGAGGTAATATTTCCTCAAGATTTTAAAAATTCCAATGGCTCTACAGCTCAAACCAGAAGGCTGTCACCTGTTCTACACACCAAAACTCTAAAAATCTGTCCCTATTTCTTTAGTTTCAGAACTTGGGATTGAACCCAAAGATCCCAATTTTGCTAGAAACACCCAAATATAATCCCAGTACTCCTGATATTCTCTCCCTCTTCCAAAGCAGTACAAACTTATCCAGATTATTATTTTGAATTTCTTCTCAGGACCCACCTATAACAGATGCCTCATTGTCCCGGGCTATCAATATGTGGTCCTCATCACAACAAATACTTGATGGGTTCCAGGACTGGCACTTGTGGGTTAAAGAGAACACTATCACTCTTGTGCTTTCTACGTGTGGAGACACGCGTTATACTTTAACATGATTTTGTGCTTTCTATGGACTTTTAGTTTTTTCTCTATCATAGAATATGAACTGTTGTCACATGTTCTCAGATTTACTTATGGAACCTATAATGGATTAATGATAAAACCGAAAGAATTATATAACTTTAAATTTTCAATTATGGATATAAAAGCAAATAAAGACAAATAACATTAAGCAGCAACACAAATGTCCAGCTAACTTGTTTCCCTGAACCTAAAACTTGCATGAAATGTAAATGAGAGGTTTTTTTGTTTTGTTTTTTAATGCTCTTTACTAGTTACACTAAAACTGAAGGAGTAGTACCAAAGAAGAATTTTCTATAAGAAAAGGAAAGGTGAAAACTAACAGAGTCAATACTGGTAACCAGAAGGCACTAATCCAAACACATCAATTTCAAGAGTTATACTATGAAATACCATGTAATGGCCTTTGACAAGTGGGGATTTCATTAATAGCAATAAGCCTAATTTCAATTTCTAATTATCATACCAAAAAAGTAAATCACTAATGAACTTATAGAAGTACAGGCCACACTGATAACTAAATACTTCTTTATCCAGAAGCACTAAGGAATAGTGTAAATTCACCAAAATATAATTAGGTTGTGGATATCTACTATCAACTTGTGCTGTTGCAAAAAAAAAAAAAAAAAATCACTATGATGTATGTGACTTCCCTTATCAGCAGAGTTCACTAAACATAAACTGTCTTGAAGTGCTTGGGAGGGCTTCATTTATTACAGGCTGTAGTTATGGCATAGTGCTTTTCTCCTTTTTGGAGGAGAGCAAAACCACTTTCCTGTACTAGAAATCTGGGACCAATACATATTATCCTGATTTGTTCTTCAAGCTAGTCACTTTTTCCAGCACACCTGTCTTCAAACATGCTGCCAGCCCAAGTAAGTAAATTCAATTAAGGTTACTGGTTTTAATTCAACAACTGCCACAGATCATGTATGATACTCCACTTACAGAGTATAGCACATGAGATTAATAATGATACAAACACACCAAACCCTTTCTGTTCATTTTTAAGTAAAAGGTTGTCAAAGTTATGGTTGTTGGTTACCAGATACATGAGGTAGGTACCTACCCCAAAACCACCAACCAAAGGAGTTGAGAAAGAAACACAAATGATATCAATTTCACATTTTTTAAAGGTGAATCAGCAGTGTAAAATCTTATTCCCAGAATTAAAAAGTAAAATAAATTTACACAGCTAAGTGAATGATGTGGAACTCAGTGCTGACAAAGTTTATTACTTAGAAGCTTAGCCTAATTCTCTTCTAAAAGTCCAAGTAGTATTCCATAAGAATCTGATAATTAAAAAAAAAATTTAAAAGAAGTGATCTTAATGAGGAAAAGGGTCTGCAACACTGAATTAAGTCAACCAATTCTAATATTCAAAAGATTACTTCTTATACGATCCAGTCTCATACCTGTCAGTGCAAAAGGTTTCTTGATATGCTGACTAGTTCCAAAATTTTACCTTTATTTACTGCAAGAATAATTTGGGGTTTTTTTGGCATTAAAGTAAACTCCATTGTTTCTGCATTCTGACCCCACTGTCATTTCAAAGGTACTCATGAATTTTCACTATTGCTCTCTAATTTTTGAGATGGAGTTTTGAGAATAAAATAGTCATGAACCATTAGTGCTTTTATCATTTAGTCAACACAAATCTGAGACAATTTGTCAAGAATTAACATTTTAAGTTAATTAAGATTTATAATATACAAAGTATTATTTGGATCTAAGTCCTCAATACTGGGGGAAAAGGACAGTAATTAAACACCAAGACAGTATGCCTGAAAGTGAAATAAGCTGACCAAAGAGCAAAATATTAATTTGTTGAAAGAAAGCTGAAATATTAAAGAAGCAATGTGAATAAAGAGAAAAAGACCAATCTCTCAGAATGGTAAGGAGATAAAAACAAACACATTGATATATGCCACTGTAAAATCCCGTTGGGCTAATATCAACCTATGAAGTGACTTAAGCACCTAAGCACCTGGCTAATGAAAAAATCTTGAATGCTAAAGCCTACAAGTGAACACTATCAAATCCCATTCTAACCTCTAATGTTAATAAATTTGTATTATATTCAACATTAGGCTGGATCTTTATACACGGATACCCCAATTTATAAGGGGAGTGGCTTAATTAGCTGATAGCCAAGATGCTTCAAGATCTAGAATGCAATGAATATGACTCTAAGGCTATAAATTAAGCTAATATTTGTAGTTTACCAACTATCCACATCTGTATCACCCAAGTACTTATTGATATCCTACTTAATAGTTTTCCTGATTTCTTAGGAAAATTCTGTCTTGGCAAGGCTCCACAGTTACATAATCTAAGAGGAATGGCCTTAGACATATCTGTCAACCCAAAACCTAGGGAATGGTGAGGTGTCATTACCAGACATCCATATGGTCCCTTTCCAGTCATCAAACTTCTGATGAAAATGAGTTAGGGAAAACATAAGGTAATGAGTAAGCCTAATACTGCCAGGTGGGAATGTTAAAGGACCTAACCCTTTAATGGCTAAAAATACAGCTGGTTTATTTGGTAGAAAAGAGTGAGAATACCTTCTATATTAAATGACATTGAAAGAGAGGAGAAGATCCATGCACCTAATATAGAGAAAAAAGCTGTGGACTGCCAATGGAGAAACATAAAGACTCTAATTCTCCAGACAAGACTTTTAACCCTCTGCTTAGCTTCAGGTTACACTGAGTAACCGTCCCACCCAACTCTTAAAATAAAAAGTTTCTCAGAGTGATGGGTCCTTTCTAATTGCTTGAGGTGCCATTCCTAAGAGCTACTGGCTACATGATCCTGGCCAGCCTCTCTGGGTAAAAAGACAATGGATCCTTTGAGCCAAGAGGAAAGGAAGCCCCAGAGAGCAGATCTCTTAAATTTGGGTCAAAGGACACAGAACCACTGCTACTGCTTTCTAAAGGCAAAAGTGATCACCTCTCTCTTGGGGTGGCAAGACAGAATCTAAAAGACAGAGAAACTAGAGGCTCCACAAAAAAAGCAAACTATCCTTTTGCATATCTCTGTAGTAAGTCCTTTGTATCCAATCTGGATACAAAGACTGCCTGAGAAGACAAAAATTTAAGAGCGGGGAAACACATTTTGCAGCTGATTTGGTGGCATTTTTCTCTACCTTTGAAGACCAGTATTCTCACCTCATTCTGATGGTTAGCTACTATTTTAGTCAGTATAATATCACTTGGTCAATTCTAAAACTTAACTTGAACAAATATAAAAATATACACATTAAGGTCTAGAGACCAATGTCATCTTTTATGACTCATTTACTCAGTACAAAGCAGGAACATTTTGCTAGCTTAAGACAGTCCATATGTCATTTCCTAGGAATAATCATTCTAATGAAGACTGAAGATTAGACCCCTGAAATAAAGCTGCCATCAGAAATTCACCTACCTATTCAAACACATTATTTATTACTGGGAAACAATGAAGAGGACAAAGCTTCAGGGAATTCCGTCTAAATAAAGTGATGTTTATACTGGCAAGAATAAAGAATTCTAATGGATACACTAATAGTCATTCTTTATTTACAAACATTAGTAATCTAAACTTGACCTACTGCTATACATACACCAACAGACACAAGATGATGTATTCTATGTATCATACTAAGACAACAGCAGAGATTGGGGGTGGGACGGCCTCGAATACTCCAAAGCACTAGGACCTAACATGAAATCAAGGGTGGGGATCTACATAAATATCTCCTATTCACTTACTGATAAATAAATAGAAGAGAAGCAATAGGAAGGCTACCCAGCCAATGTGTCAATTCTCACTGCTGAGTTACACAGCAGTATGTTCAAAGAAAATGTTAATTCGTACAGCTTAATGCCAATTTGGAAAACCCAAGATCCTATTACTTTTCCAAATACCAAAAGGTTGTCCCAAAGGAAGAACACTTACTTTAGGAAAAGCACAAACCATGGACAAATCATTTGTCTTGACAAATGTAGAGTCCAGATTTGGAGACCGGATTTCTGTTCTTCTGAAATAGGTTTTCTAACCTTGAACATGTCACAGCCTCAACCTCCATACAAGGAAAGGATGGTCCCTATCTATTTGATCCCCAGATAAACCTTAAGAATGAAATTGAGAAAAAAAAAAAAAATTCTACAAGGCACTCTTAAGCGCTTTAGAAATACATGCTATTCATACATGAATTACTTTTTCACCTACAGACTCAGTCCATCAAAAAGCTTCCTGATGATGGGAAGACATTATACCTGATAATTTCTGAAATCAACTTTGGACTAATCAAGTCCATCAAAAACAAATTAGTTTATACGCTAAAAAATTTCAAAGTCATCAGGACTGAGTTTTGATTCAAAAATCTATGAAAGTGTCTATAAAAGTAATTTTCCTAAAGAATACAAGCTTAATAAAAATCATGCAATTTAAAAAGCATTAGTTTAAAGATAGTCAAAGAAAGTAGATACAATTAGTTTTCTTATTTTTCAGGGAGGAAAAAGGACAGTGCTGAGGACACAGAGCTATATCCCCTGCAAAGCTCTTCTCTAACATCATCAGTCCTCTTCCTCACTAAGGAAAAATAGATTCCCACCTGTGGATGATGCAACTGGGTAAACCATGTCAAGATAAGGATCCTATAATTACACAAGTCCTATAATTTCCTCCACAAGTACAGTACTAAACCAAGAAGTTCTTGTTTATGGCATCTCTTAAACATGCTATCCATCCTACAAATAATCTACCAATGGCAAGTGTGCACTCTGAGTTTTCTGGTACTAATGGCCAGTTTGCACTGAAACATCCTTACATGCTCACAACAAGATGTACAGGCTGTGTACAGATGGTAAATCTTGAGGAAAAAAATACAAAATAAAAAAAAATTATCAAGAATGCAGTATGATCTCAGAATTAAATTTTCCCTTGCTATATCATGATAACGCAGCAACACAAAAAGCAGTGAAAACGTTTGTTCAAGATTCTGTACAAACCTTCCAACTCAATCTACTGGGTTTTTAACTAATAAAGAATGTTATCAAATGACAAGGAAAAAAAAGTCAAATTCATTGAAGTATGATTAATCATCTGCTTGACAAAGTTAATCAAACACTGCTTGGAAGCTGGTAATTCTCAAACTATATAAAAACCACCTTAATTTGGTCAAAAAAGGTGGGGATCATCAGTAACATTTATTTTACTTCCCCCCATAATCATTCAGTAATACAATTTGAATATGTAACTTTATAAACAGACGGTGTTCATTATGTGGTTCATTAAACTTCAGTGAAAAGTAGGAAAAAACAGGTGGGGGAAGAACCGGATCAACCCACACCCCCAACATTCCACATACAGGTGGTACAAAAATACCTACAGAATAACATTCTTCCTCTCTTTTGGCAATCAATCCACAGTCACACACAAAAATTAACCTGGCAAACTAACCTGTCTTGAAATACATACCACACATTAGAGTTTCAGAACATAATTGATTATACAACATGTAAAATTCAGTTATTGTATTTTTAAATGGTAGTGCGAATTACAGAGACAGAAAAAACTTAGAAATGAGCAAATCTTCTACTTCAGCATTAAGGTCTACCAAGACCTGGCAGTGCAGACAATATCTTATTCATGATACCTTAACATTTATTATGCTCTAAGATATCTGAGAATAATTGGTCTCTCTTTACTTTGGTATGGAAATTTTTAAACCACATTTTTTTTTTTTTAACTTTTCAGTCTGTTTTGCTTCATTTAAAAGTTGAAGATTTACTTTAATCCATGTCTGGGAAAATAAAGTCTTGCAAATAGATGATTTTCTGCTAAGTAAAATTTGGCTAAAACCTACAGCGTAAACAATGCCTGAGAGATGCAACAGTTACATAATTTTTTTCCAAAGACCAGTATTAAGTTAAATGTCTCATCATATCCTTAAGTTCATATGGAGAAATAAACAAACATGAAAATTCCAAGAGAACACACAGCAAAAAGTCCAATATTTAGTATGACTTTAACTTGTGGAGTCTCTTCTAACATTTGTAAACAGACAGCCTCCTCCTCCATCAAGTCTCTGAGACTCCTCTTGCTGATGCTCTTACTTTTAAAGCCACAAAACCAGTCTATGAACTTCCAGTACCGGCTTCTATCCTCTGTTTCTTTCTTTCTCTCTTTCTCACCCATGAGAGCCGCTTGCCCATTGGAATAAGTATCTACTGGTGTTTCTGCCTCTGAATGACCCAAGGAAGCCACAGGGTTACCCTCCTCTCTGCAGGTCACCAAAAGATTGACATCTTCAGGCTGAAGGCCCTTAATACTATCTTCAGATTTCCCATTGGGAATGACATGGATGATGGCCTCACTGTTCTCACTGCATCGCAGAATGCTCTTCTCCTGCATTTTGTATGGCTCATCTTTCTGAGAGCAGCTTTCCTTTGTCACCAGGTTCTTCTTAGACCAAAAGGTGGTGGTGCGAATCTGTTCCTTTGTGGGAGGTGGAGTGAGAAGGCTGACAATTACAGTAATGAGTCCTGTGACCCAAAACAATGCCGTGGCCACATACATATAATGGATGTCTTTGATGAAGCCTGGTCTATTATCAGGTTGGTCACACTCCGGGGCACGGTAGGCAAAGGCCAGTATCAAACGGACTGCTCCAAGAACAAAGCCAGCCATTCCACCATAGAAAGCCCCTTGTTCATTGCAGCGCTTCCAGAAAATTGCCAAAAGGAATAGGGCCGCCACTGGGGGGGTCAGGTAATCTGCTACCTCCTGAATGTAAAGGTACATCTGGCCACCTTGCATCTCCACAATGATTGGTACCCATGCTATGCTGATCACCACCATAAAAGCCACAAATATCCTCCCCACAATCATTAGTTCCCGGGAGCTTGCACTCTTGCGGATGAGTTTGTACACATCAAGAGTGAATATAGTACTGGCACTGTTAAATATAGAGTCCAAGTCACTCATTAGAGCTGCAATCATCACAGCCATCATCAACCCCCGAAGGCCCACAGGAACAAGCTTCATCACCAGGCGTGGGTAAGCAATATTGGAGCACCCAGCTCGGCTTCCACACACTTGCATGCAGTGCTCTGGGTTGATGCAAGCTATATCATCAGTAAACAGTATCCTGGAAATCATTCCTGGGACAACTATGATAAACATTGGCAGAAGCTTCAAGAAGCCAGCCATAAGAGTAGAGCCTTTGGCGTGAGCAATGTTTTTGGCTGCCAGGACCCTTTGTACGATGACTTGGTCAGCACACCAGTACCACACTGAGGCTGGGGTCTGCCCAAGGATGAATCCGGGCCATGGAACATCTTCATCTGTTGGATCCCGCAACATTTTTAGGGCTTCTTTCTTAGGGTTGACGTTACAAGAATTTGTGTTTGATAGGTTGTATGTCAACAAGATGGAAGGGATATTAGGTGAGGCCAACATGTACCTTCTCTTAACTTCCTCAAACCCACCAATCTCCATCATGCTAATAATCATAAGTGTGAGTGCCCCAACAATCATGAGCAGAGCCTGCAGAGTGTCTGTGTAGATAACTGCAACAAGGCCTCCGGTGACAGTCAGCAAAGCAGTCATACCAATGAGCAGGATGACAGACACATAGAGGTTCCAACCCAAAGACTCCTGGATAAAGAGGGCACCCGAATACAGATCCACTGAGAGCTTGGTGAAGATATAGAGAATCAGAGACAGGGCTGCAAAATAGACCTGAATCCTATGGCCACCAAATCGCTTGGACAAGTATTCAGGCATGGTGTATACCCCCGACCGGATGTAAATTGGGATAAAAACCCATCCCAAAAGTTGCAAAAGCAGTAAGGCATTGAATTCCCATGCGCCCACTGCAAATCCACTTGCAGCTCCAGATCCTGCCAGCCCAATGAAGTGCTCACTCCCAATATTGCTCACAAACAGAGAGGCACCAATTGCTACCCAGGTCATAGAGCGCCCCGCCAGGAAGTATCCACTCACGGTGCTTCTATTAGATTTCCACATGGCAAAAAAACCAATGCACATCACCAGGATAAAATACAGGGCCACTATGGCAATGTCTGCTGTCTCCAGAACAGCCCTCATTCTGGTAACTCGTGAATAAAAGCGTCCAAATGACAGAAGTGTCCAACTTTTTATTTACTTATTAGTAACCTCAGCCAAGTCTGTAAACCATACGTGAACTGGACTATACAGAGCAACACAGCAGGTCAAAGTCTTTGTCCTTTGGTTTGCTGTCTTGATGGTGGTGGTTGTGATAAACTTTGAAGGAGACAGTTTAAATTTTCCTCCGCTTCTTAATTGGGATTTGAGAACTTAGCTCGTACTCTTAATCCACACTCCACAAGACCATCAGCATTTACTCAGGTGCTGGAGGAGAAATTCTGAGTTGCAGCTAAGTCTAGTGAAGCCTACTGTACCAACCCTGCAAGGCAGCAAAGACAAAAGACAAAGATTGAATTAGAGGAGGGTCTCACCAAGGGATGAGGAAACTTTCAGTCGAGCAAACACGGCGCAACAAGACATTTTTTTATAAAAAGAAACAAAAGCTTTAAAAACACACTTTAATTCCACAGCAAGGATCAATCTATACTATCACAACTAATACTTAAAAGTGTGAATATTCATCATTTTGAACTAAAAACAAAAATTCATCCATCTCGTAACTAAGTGGCCTAAATTCTCCAGCAAGTAACTTTGTATCACATTGTCCTTTCTTGTCTTACTGTAGCAGTCTCAGCTTGGAACAGGAATGAAATCATAAAGCACCCTAAAGAGAAGGGAGTACTAATTACTATAATAAGGGTACCAAAGAGAATCTTCAAATACTGTGAATCTCAAGAATATTTGGGACTAACTTTTTGGCCAGTTAGGGTCCTGGATAGAACAGCAAATGTGTTTGCTTGTGAGTATCTCCTCCAGAGAATTTAAACACATAAAATCAAGTATTACTCAGTTTGTGCAAACTGTAAATGTATATAGTTATCACATAATAACCTGGAACTTGAAACACCTAAAGGGAAACAAGATACTCCACACAGAAAAAAACTGGAAACTACAACTGACAAAACAATCCTAACATTTTATTCTTTCCTCTAGTGAGAAGTTGTTGGAAAACAAAAAGAACTTTAAAAGAGGTAATTTCCTTCCTTTTCTTCAGGCAGTATTTCCAAAAGACCTTCTGAGTCATACAAAGGCACAGACTCAAGTTTTAGTTTTGTAGAGCACTCTCAAGCATTTCTTCCTTTTAATGCCTTTTTGTTGAAGGGTATAGAAATCAGGGGGAGGAGGGGAGGAGAAAAAGTTTTCTGGAAGACTGAATAACTGGATTATTTATCTTCCAAACCTGAACAAAACACATTTGTTAATCATTAAATAAATCATCTTCAATAAGTCCTTCTGATATCTGTCAGTCCTGGATTTAGATATCCATTCTGTAACCATTCTGCAAAACAGACATTTAAATTCACCTAAATCAAGTTTGAGTTTAGTGGTTTCCCCCTGGTAAATAGACAAATTCTAATTCTTCAAAGATATTTTAACTTAAAAAAAAAAAAAATTACCATTCAACCTAACACCTCCATATGTTAACTTCTAAGTGATTTCTCCTCATTCCTGAAGCAACATCAGGATAAATGTTGTTGCTTTATGATGAATTTAGGCATTTTCTTTTTAAATCCAATGGAAAACTTAAATCCCATAAATGAGGCCATCTCTTTTCCAAACTGTTCAAAACAGACCACAGCCAGGCACGGGGAACCATGCCTGTAAATCCCAGATACTCAGGAGGCTGAGGCAGAAGGATTACAAGTTTGAGGCCAGCAATTTGTTTCAAAATAAAAAAAAAATAAAAAGGGCTGGGGATGCTGCTCAGTAGTAGAGCACTTATGGGTTCAGCTCCTGCCACCAAAACAAAACCAAACAAAAAAAAAAACCCCAAATACCCACAATATTAAAAAACACAGTTCCTACCAGCAAGAAGCTAGGCACAAGGTCTAAAAAGACTAATACCCCACCAAATTAGGTTATTATGTCTAATTCATAAAGCTGCCAAGATTTTTTAAAAAAAGAAAAGTTAATCCCATCTTTATCCCCCTTTTTTTTAAACACAAAGCAGTATAATAATTATGTTAAGAAAATCAATTAAAAATCCTGCCTCTGTCAGTGTCACTGGATGGCATAAATAAAATTGCCAAAGGTAAATAATAAAGTTGGGATTTGCATCACTTCATACCTGCAGTTCCTGAAATTGTGTCATATTTTACCACCATCTTCCCCAGCCCCAAAAGCTTTCAAGTTTGTAAACAAATACTTTGAAATCATTTAGGAATTATCACTTAAATAAATCTATGACAAATGTAGTTTATTTAAAAGGGTACATTTAAAATGCTTCAGTGGAAAGGACAGCTACTTTTCATTTACAATGAAAATCATTACTGGCAGTTATGAAATCCTTTGATGAAGATCTCTCTACTACCCAAAATCCAAACCATCTCCCTGTCACTTGTTCAACATTTACAGGTAAACTTAGTTAAAAGGAGGTCAGAAGACCTTCTTTTGGGTACTATTCTTCTCAGTAGCAGCAGCTGACAGTTCCACAAGTTCCCCAATAAGGGAAAGAAACCAATCCAGTGACTTTCAGTGTTTGGATGTGGAACAGAATTGAGTCTGTCAATAGCTGCTGCAACAGCTTATTTGTTCAGAGGCAAAATGCTCAGGAACAAAGCAAGCACTTCCTTCCTCCATCTTTAGGAAGCAATGCTACTATATCAATAACACTGTTCCTTGCTGTCAAATATGATTTATGCACTAAGCCATATTCTACTCAAAGACTAGTTGAAATTCCCATGCAAGGACTGTCCCCTAACTTCCCTAGATATATTCCGCCCACAGGGAGGGAAATAAGGAGGGGCCAAAAGTGAGTTCAAGGCTGAGTTCAACTCTTTCTGCTTATGCCTCTTCAACCCTTCAAAAGCTACTGCTGACAGATTTCCTCAATGGACACACCAGCTTGTGGCTTTTAGATTTTTCCAGTTCAAACAAAAATACATCCACAGACCAGCACCTGGTTAAGAGTGGGAAAGGAAAAAACAGAACCCAAAACAAGTCAACTTAGTTTGTTGGAAAAATAAAATACTTTGTATTATCAATGCAGCTCAATTTTTTTCATACTCTAGTCATTAAGATTATCCAAGCCTTAAATTTCAATCTTTCAGAAGATAATTTTCACATTCCTTAAACATGACTCCCATGTA